TACACAAACAGGGTTTCTGTGGATCATGAAAAGGTCTTTAAAAGTTTTAATTTGCCCTTCCACAAATTAAGCCCTTAAAAGTCTTAAATCAGAGCAAAAGTCTTAAATTCATAAAGCTATGGCAATAAATGTTGTTAATTGCAATAAATAAATAAATAAAGCATCAGTATTTTGTTTTCCAACACAAATATCCAAACATCTTTAAATTAAGATGTATTTACAAATATCTGAATATCTGAGAAATCAATAATTAAAGTGGTGTGTATGTGTGTATGTGTAATATATATATATGTGTATGTGTGTGTGTGTGTGTGTGTGTGTGTGTATGTATGGGTTTCAATCAATATGACAAACTTCTTGAAAGGTAAGCTAAACTTCAAGTTAAAAGTATTCATAATATGTTGAACCTTTTATTGAAAGTAGCCTACTTTTACTCGTTGAGACATGTTTTCACATTTATTGACCCGTAAGAGCTGTGTTGGTGATTTGAGGGAGGCGGGGCGTTTGCAGATGTTGTTTAAACATGCTTTACTTTTGTAGTTCCTCTGGGTGAACTAGTAGCGCAGAAACTGCATACCTTACCTTTAGCTTAATTAAGCTGATTGGCAGATATTTGGCTGTTATTTGTTCTTGTTTTTATCATGAACTCAATTCGTTTTGATCAATTCCACAGAAAACAAGACATCTTATGTCTTTCTGCTTCTCCAGTAAACATATTTTGACTTAAAGGGCACAGTATGTAATTTTCACCGCTAGAGGGCACATATTCAAAACAAACAAAGAAACAAAGGTGTAGTTTGATGATGCCGTGATTAAGTGTGGAATCATGGGAGTTGTCGTCTTCATCCCCACAGCCTATGCAATCTGGCGGGACTCGGGCATGTATTAAAGTATGTATTAAATGTATTAAATATAATGTATTAAAGATTTAAAAACGTCACAGTAGTATGAAGCAGGGTGGGGCTGAAAGCCGTGGAAGCGAAACGAGGTACGGTACATTCACACAGGGCGTCGGTTTCAGCGCTTGACGGAGGGCGTGTCTGAAGCTTGGCGCTAACGCGATCGTCATAGTGACAACAGCCAATTACATTGGACCGCAATTGGTTAGCGCCTGAACTAGGCTATTTGCATAAGGCAATCTGATTGGCTGACGTCTCCGTTGGCACTTGAAAAGCTGAGAAATTTTCAACTTCTGCCGCGAGCAACACCAGTGACGCGACGTCGACGGTCCCACAATTCAGTTCAGCAATGCATGACGTCACCCATTCAAAGTAAATGAGAAGCATTAACGCTGACACCCTGTGTGAATGTACCGTTACTGAGAGACGAGCGTGACACATGGCTCGAAAAGCAGCGGAGCTTTTGTGTCACAGTTGACCGCTTCCGCTCTTTCCGGTCATGCTTATGTGGGGTAAAGCAGCTGATTTATCATACTAGATACATTTGAGTGTGTTGAAAGTTCTGTTATAATGCTACTCTGTGAGTTTGTCGCCTGTCTAATAAAACTATTAAAGGGGTCCTATTATGCTCTTTAACAAAGTCTTGATTTTGTTTTGGGGGTGTACTAGAACAGGCTCTCATACTAGGTTAGGGCTGGACAATATGGCAGTTGCCTTCTCTAGTGCAGCTCAACCAGGTCTCGTCCCATTCGTCGATATTTGTGATATCACTAATCCCGGAAAATATGCGTTGTAGTCTAAACGAGTCGTTCATTGTAGTTTTTTAAAAGTGATTTCTGTTAAATAAAATATCTCCTTTTGAATTGGACTTTGAGATTTGTAATTTTGCAGATATTTTTTATGCTCAAACAGCAACATTACAGACTAACAAAAGTTGAAAAAGTGAAAAAGCATAATAGGACCCCTTTAAAGCGCCTTTGGTGTTTCCATGGTTTCTACAAAACAAAACCGGAAATCGAGGGTGTATGACATCATTGGCAGGTGACGCAATGACACGGTCCGTTACGCTAGTTAAAATTCTTATTTCTCTGGATTTAAACATTCTTGGAAACATTTGCGATAATGTAAGTACACAAGTTAACAAAATATATAACACTGTTCTAGTGGGCTTTGGATATTTTAGTCTAAAAATCTTACATATTGTGCCTTTAAGAATCTTTAGACGGTTGTACTGGAAAACATGACAAAAATACTGAGGAAGCACATCACTTTTTTGTCACTTCTTTTATATGCTTTTAAGTGTATAAAGTGTAAAGTAAAGAAAAAAAACAGGGTACTAAGTATCTAAATTATACGTTTTATAAGTGGCCCACTTTACCTGAATTCACCCTTTTTAAAATTGATATATTACTGCAATATTATTGTTAAATATTTTTTAAACAACCTGCACTGTACAAAGCGCTATAGAGATAAAGGTGACGTCATCTGACTTGATCGGAAACGTGCCGTAGAGATTGAGGTGCAATTTGTTATGTTAGTTTACAGTAACGTATATATGTACATATATAAAAGTGTTACATTTATAATTACTATTCCCCGCCTCCAGTTCACTCACGCGTTTGAAGATGAAACGTCACATAGAGAGCGCGTTGCGTTGTGGGAAGCATTAAGCCACGGTCACACTACACTTTGAGCATGCGAAATTCGTTCGCACGCTGCAACGGTCGTGATATGACGTCATGCTCTGCAGCGTCTTTTTAAAAACTTAAATTCAACACATAAACAATAATACACCTAAAATGTAAAAACATACAATCTTCTCCACTTTCCTGGAGCGCTGCCGTTTTAGATTTATATTCTTTTAATTCAGATAGGAGGTCATGCTGTGACGTATCAATCTGCTGTTGGTCACACGGTGTCACGTGATGTGAATTCGCAGGCCAGAGTTCACCAAGTTTGAACTTTGGAACGCAGCGAAATGCGAAAACTTTTCGCACAGGCTTGCGTTTCCGGTCTGATGCATTCACATGCATATGAATGGAAGTCAATGGAACGAAAAGTGTAGTGTGACCGCGGCTTTAGGCTTGTTCGAGATGCATCGGCTGTGAATAGTATGTGAATTTTCTGTATGCATGGAATTCCCGGATTACTTACTACATTTGCTGAAATCTGATGTATGCATCTGAAGACACTAGGTGCGTTCGGCTTGAAGCGGCGCTGCACAGACCGATCGGTGTATGACATCAAAGTACCGCAAGAGCAATTCAAAACCTCGTGGTACTTTGATGTCATACACCGATCGGTCTGCGCAGCGCTGCTTCAAGCCGAACGCACCTAGTGTCTTCAGATGCATACATCAGATTTCAGCAAATGTAGTAAGTAATCCGGGAATTCCATGCATACAGAAAATTACACATACTATTCACAGTATGCAAACAGCATACTGCAGTATAATAGTTGTATGCCATTCCGAACACAGTTTCTGTACTGATTTCAGTGTACTTGAGTTATATTTAGCAGATTCTGGCAAATATATATACAGAAAGTTTGCATACTATGCACAGTATACATATTGGATACTGTAGAAATAGTAAGAGTAGTATTATAGTATGGCATTTAGAACACAGCAAAAAGAGCGGCTGAATCTTTAATTGTAACCGAATCATTGAAACGAACCGCTCGAAAGAACCGATTCGTGGAAATGAATCGATAGCGTATAAGCCGTGTTGTGCGCCTCACCCGTAATTAGGGATGGGCAATACCTCTTATATTTTATTTTCGATCCGATAGCGATATTTTCAAGCCCAGTATCGTCGATATCGATACCGATACTTCTAAACTAAACTGATCTTTTAAATTATCGAAAGAATATATAATCAGTAATTATACTCACTTAATATTAGATTTTAAAGCCGTGTTTTTAATTTCATAGGCCTTTTTTGCTTACACTGTCAGAAATAAAATATACTATCATTGTATTTTAGCCGTTTACTGGGGCAGTAACCTCAAAAGTGCAACTATATCCCTAAAAGAGAGCATATTAGTACCATACAAGTATGCATGCTTTTAAGGGTAGATAAGTTACAAAGGTGCACCTTTGAGGGTACCTCATGAAAAATAAACATGGTGTTACATAAGTACTAAAATGTGTTATTATTACCATGGTAAATTTGTGGTTACTGCAGTTTGACTACAAATACTGTGGTTACTGTAATAAAACCATGGTTAATTTTTGTAAAAGGCTGCCAGGCTGTTGTACCCCTAAAGGTGAAACTTTAGCATATTTTTTTCTGACAGATTTATTAACAGTAATTACAGAACATAACACAATCAATTTGAACTTTTAACAACCAGTTTAAATAAATTTACTTGCACAAACTAGCCAATTTAAAATAAATATTACATGTACACAAGTTTGGGGTCAGTAAGATTTTGTAATACTTTAAGTCTCATGCTCACCAAGGCAGCACTTATTTGAAAACAAAACAAAACGTAAAAGCAGCAATATTGAGAAATATAACAATTCAAAGCTGAATTTTCAGCATCATTACTCTAGTCTTCAGTGTCACATGATCCTTCAGAAATCATTCTAATATTTACTGCTCTAGAAACATTTATTATTATTGCTGCTTCATATTTCTGTGGAAACCGTGATGCATTTTTCATATATATAGTAATGAATTTTATTTTATATATAGTAACAATGTTATGTAATGTAATGTAATAATGTGGCAATGGTTTCTTAAGATCTACTTACGCTTCTGATGCTTTTGGGAAACGCAGCCCTATTTGAACAAGCACTGTGAGCCATGCGTCAGCAGCGAACGCTGTCTGTGATTGATTGGTTCTGTCTTTCAGCATTTGCGTGTGTTCCGATCATAGAGGTTCCGATGAGCAGGAGAAATGGTTCTATTCTATCCAACACAATTATTCGTCTATTTTTCCACTTAGAAGCTTATTTTATGCAACGAATTTTTTTGATAAGTCAATAAAATTAATGGTTAAAAAACGCACTTTAGAATCGATATTTTTATGTGAGGATCGATCCTTTCGATACAACATCAGTATCGAAAGTATCGATACTTAAGGATCGATCCGCCCATCCCTACCCATAATGCACTGCTGCACGCATTGGGGGAAGAGCTTTCGCGGGAGAGCCAGCGAGGCTATTCAGCTAGTTTGTTTCAGCAACTTTTGCAGTATTTTGATGTTTTAATTCAGAAGTGATCAACCGTGCATCTTGCAGGGGTTGTTGATCGACTGTCTTTTGAGAGGGATTGTTGAAAGAATACGCCAGGCGTTCAAAGGTAAGTACATAAACTGTTGAAAAGATTGGCCCGCGTGTTGTTTATCATCTCTGCAGAGATTCGCTGCAAAGCATGCATGTCCTGCAGCGTGTTTCGCCTATATACGCTTGGCCTGGCTTCAACATTCATGTTTTAAAGCCTCATGTTGGAGTATTTTATTTTTTCATTTCTATCGAATAGCGAGCTAACGACAATAGAACGGCGCATATGTTATCAATATAAAACAGAATTAATGCAATGTTGAGGTTTTGGAGTATTGTATGGTATGTATGATCAGCCTGTGACAATATTAGCCAAAGATGCATGTTTATAGTCCTGTGACTGCATGCCATGTGCAGCAGTTGCTAAAGTACAGAAGCGTTTGCTGCAGCAGACAGTAGGCTAAAGTCCATTGTGGAGGCTGATATGGTTTGAAATGGTAGTGTACGTTAGTTTTGAAGTATTTTAAAAACAACTCTAAATTATCGGAATTATATAAGATAAAATATCGGAGCAATGGGGATATTTTAATCACTAATATTGTGGAAGATATATAAGGATTTTAAAATTAGATCTTAACTTTTTTGCTGCCGCAAACACGATTTATAGTTAATTGCAACATTTTTATGTGTTCTTTAATTTTTGTTCGTTAAAAATGACTGAATAATTATGTAACTGTTTAAAAAATTTATTTTTTTCATGAAAAATAATATATTGTTAATTAATATTTTACGTGAATATAAAAAAAGCAATATCTGTTAATGTTATTAATTAATCTAAAAACACTTTTGTTGACAAACAAGGGCGTACAAAGCAAAACATTACATAGTTTAATTTTCTACTCATTCTAACCTGTGCTTCAAGGAAATCATTAGTTTTCATGTTTGAACTTGCAGAATTTCTCAAAAATGTATAACACACTAATCCAAAAGTTTGCAATGCATTGCACTTGCACTTAAGCAAGATTGGCTGTATAATATTGTGAAAATACTGTACAGGCCTGTAAAGTCCTGATAGGGGGGACTTTAGGGGGAAGTCGTGGCCTAATGGTTAGAGAGTCGGACTCGTAACCCAAAGGTTGCGGGTTCGAGTCTCGTACCGGCAGGGATTGTAGGTGGGGGGAGTGAATGTACAGCGCTCTCTCCCACCTTCAAAACCACGACTGAGGTGCCCTTGAGCAAGGCACTGAACCCCCAACTGCTCCCCGGGTGCCGCAGCAAAAAAA